GGGGACAATTTCTGTAGAACGGCAGAAAAAGTATGGCCACAAATGGATATTAAAAGTGGTCCACAACCCAATTCCGTGAACCAAAAGGGCCCAAATTTGAATTGGAAGTAGGTCTTGCATAGGGCTACCTTGAGGTCACTTCAAACCTCGCTAAAAATAATGAACATTAGTCGAAATGGTCCTCCGTCCTCACCGCCGCCAGCCCAGGAACCGACGACTGTCAAGCAAGCACTGCAAGGACCACACAGGGAAAAATGGAGGGAGGCAATGGATCGAGAGTTAGCAGCACTGTACGAGCGAAACACCTGGAAGCTGATACCGATTTCTCAGACCAAGGGGAAGACCATCCTCTCTGGGAAGTGGGTCTTCCGCATGAAGACCAAGGCAGATGGAACCACCGGACGCTTCAAGGCCCCATGGGTGGTTAGCGGCTTCGACCAGCAGCACGGCCATGACTACACCGAGACCTTTGCTCCGGTCAGTCGCCACACCTCACTTCGAATTCTCCTCGCCGTCGCCGCTGCCTGCCGCCTTCCTCTGCGACAAATCGACGTCGCAGCCGCATTCCTCTACGCCCCGGTCAATGCTGACATCTTCGTCGAGCAGCCCCACGCCTACGTCGACGACCCTACGCTGGTCTGCCAGCTCGTCAAATCCCTCTATGGGATCAAACAAGCCCCGTGCCTGTGGCAGCAGTACCTGCACTGGATCCTAATCACCATGGGCTTTGCCCAACTCCCCCACGACCAAGGCACGTACAGGCTGTCACGCAGCGGCGACTATGTCCTGCTGATCATCTACGTGGACGACCTACTCTACGTCGGCTCCACAGCTTCCATTACCGTCTGGTTCGAAGGAGAGATGGAACTGCAGCTCACGATCACTGTGTTGCCGATCGTGACGCAATATCTCAATCTCAACGTCACCGATGGCCTGGACACCATCCACCTCTCGGCATCCAAGTACGCCAAATCCATCGCTCGGAGATTCGACCTCTCTCCGCTACCTCTTGCTACTCGGTACACCTACGCGCTGCCAGCACCCGTGCGTCCGCCTCGCTACTCGCACCAGCCGGGATCCAGAACTATCAGCAGAAACTGGGATGTCTGTTGTTCGCTGCAATCACCTGCCGTCCTGATCCCTCCTACGCCGCTAGCCAGCTCGCTACCTACCTTAAGCGATCTGAAGGGGGGAATCTGCAGGAACTCGACCGCGCACTCCACTACTTCATCTCGACCCCGACGATCGGCCTGACCTACCACAGAAAGGCTGCTACTAAGACTGAACTTATCGGCTACGTTGACGGCGATCATGCCGGCGATAAGGACAATCGACACTCGCGCACTGGCTACATCTACCGTCTGGAACCTATCGGCACTATCTTCTGGCACTTGGGAAAGCAGGAACTAATCGCTCTCTCATCTGCTGGAGCTGAATATATCACTCTCTGCACAGCCACGAAGAAAGCGCTGTACCTGCGCAAGCTGCTCGAAGAAGCGAAGATTGCTGACTTACCAAGCTTCTCCCTCTTCTGCGACAACCAATCAGCAATTAGAATCGCCAACAAAAACGGATTCGCGAACAGGACAAAGCACATCTCGCTTCATTACTTCTTCGTGAAGGACGAGATCGAGCAGGGCCGTCTCCGATTGGTCTACTGCCCCACCACTGAAATGGTAGCCGACTACTTGACCAAGAAACTGATGAAGTCGAAGTTCCAGTACTGCATGCTGCTGACTAGACTTCAACATGTCAGCGACCTCGACCACATCGACACTCCAGAAATGAAGGAGGGTGTTGGAAATGATATAAGAACTTAAGACATTTCCGGAGTCTTGCATGAGTGTACGAATACGCGACGACTGTAACAACGGGGATCATCGAGTCAACAATGCTACAGTACTACCGACGGTTGACACAGGTTGACGACACCTCGCAGGGGTTACGAAAGGGCAACAGTCGCAGACCGTTGAGCGTGCAACCCAACAGTCAGAATGGCAAGAGTCAAGAGTCGGCACGACAGTAAGGACAAATAACTATCCCGATAATACAGTACGGGTGGTAACCCCGAGTCGCCTTATCGAGTCGTAAAAGGGAATATATCCCTTGAAGTGCACAAACATTTGGACTCTTTATATCCTCTTGTATTATTATATAAACCTTGTATCCCCTTGCTATAATCAATTACTTGGTCTCACATACCAGTACAAGGGTTCAATTCAAGACTTCCGCTGTGCTATCAAGCACTCTTTTACAATGAGTTAGCCTTCCAAAAAGATCATAGGGCTATTCTCAGCCGAACAATAACAACGCCATACATCGAACAAAAAAATGCTTATCCTTTGCAGTAATCATAACTAATGCTTACGAAAAGGAAAAAATGGTCACTCATATAATTTTGTATACTAAAAATATGAATATTTGCAGCCATGAAAAGAAAACAAACATTGGTTAATATCAAACAATATAATCATGGATGTGTGTGATGTCCTTAGCTTGATCAAAATATAAATCTTTGTTTACGAATTTCACAAACAAAATAAGAAAGGTACTACAAAAGGAAAACATGGGTGTGCATACAACGCTAGCTCTTTTATATCGAAAAGAGTGTTGGAGCACTCGTTATTCGATTTGTAGTGCGGCGCGATCTATTTTCATGCGCGATTCAGGGACAGAGAGAGAGAAATTGTAACAGTTCATTTTCGAGGTTGCGGGATTCTGTTTCGGATTTGGTATGCGACCGCTGTAGCTCACGACGCTTTACGACGCATGCAGTGTCTGTTTTGTGTTACTCGCTGCCCGTCATCACTTGTACGTTTCTTTTTATGCATTTTCATTGCAAATTAGCATGTGTCCATGGAAGTATGCCCTGAGTCCACGAAAGAATGGAAGGTGTCCACGGGAGAAGGAAAAGTTCGACGTGCTGTCCATGAAAGTAAGGCCTGTCTACGAAAGTATGAAAGTTTTCGTGGACAGTCTGCGGTAGTAATTTCCCCCTGTTTCTAGTTACACATTTGCGAGCTGTCGATTGCAATCATAATATCTGTAAGGAATTTAGCATTCCTCTGCCACCGCCTATATCAAACCCCACACGGCACCGACATCTGCCCTAGCTTCGGCCCGAACACGGCACCAAACTATTTTCGCGTCACTCCGAAGCGCTCCGCGTCCTTGGATGTCTCTTACGAACGTGTTCGATCACGCGGCTAGGATTGCTCTGTTGTTCCTATATCTTGCTTCATCATTCGATTGTACGACATTCTATTATTCTGAATTTCGACATTCGATTCCGCGCTACACTGGTGAAACACTCATAACATCTGGAATTCGGAGTTGCTTTCCTGACCTACCCACTTCTGTCGGCGGAAAACTTTTTTTGGGGGAGGGGGGGGCGTAGTTCGCTCACTGAGCTGCAAAGCGGTCGGCTGCGAGTTAGACGAATTACTTCGCCCGACTACGATAGCGTTTGCACTCTTACCTGAGCACGGGTAATCACGGATATTCCCCTGCCCACCCAGCGTAGTGTCCGCCACATGGACCAGGCACTGTTTGACGAGTTGCTGGCAAAATTCACTGCCATGGAGGCTCGCCTAACAGCTGTGGTGGACGACAACGACAAACTTCGTGCCGAAGTTACCGAACTTCGCCACGTGCAAGAGACTACGCGCTAGAAGTTGCCCGCCTCCGAGGACGCCACCAGCACGGGACGTGTCGAAACAGTATGGGACAAAATTGCACGCGAAGTGTCGTAGGAGCGCCGTGATGATGAAGCTGAAGCAGCAACGAATGCCACCGCACGTGCCACGGCAGCTGCAGCATGTGCAACAACGGCCGCCGCCCGCTCCGAAGCAGCAGCAATAGTTTATGCAGCAGCCACAGCCACACCGACTGTACCAGTGGCCAAGATAAAGTCATCGATGCCACCCCCTTTTAACCCCATGGACAAAAACACTACCATGACGGGCTGGCTTTTTGCGATGGAGCTTTATTTCGATGCTGTCGGGATTACTGTTGATGATTTCAATATCAAACTGGCTATTTCGCTACTGAGGGGACCTGCACTGGATTGGTGGTGATCGACACGAGTGAGACGGGGACTTCGCCATGGAACACTCAGGGGTTTTTCAGGAGTTCGGAATCTACTGCCTGGGATGCAACGTCAATTTTCGGATCGACCGAGATTCGCACGTGGAAAGCGTGGGGTACAACTCTGCACGCACGTTTCAAGCCCATATCCGACTTGGACAACGCACGCACGAAGCTGGACACATGGCGCCAGTTGACCTCTGTCCAGGATTACGCGTCATCATTTCAGGAACTGTGCCACCACATCGCCGACCTATTAGAAGCTGAAAGAAAGAATCGGTTCATCGTGGGGCTCAAATCCGACGTTCTCTACGAAGTGAGGATGCGACGCCCGGCGACGTTCCAAGAAGCAGTGGTGATCGCCGACCTGTACGACGCCAATCAAAAATACGTGAGATCGGGTTCCCGGGAGGGAAATCATTTTCGTGGCCAGGATCAACGACCCTCGATCAATAGCATTGTGGTGTACGATGAAGATCATAGAAAGTGACAATGTTTTCACTGCCACCAGCCGGGTGACTGATATGCTGACTGCCATGACCAGAAGCAGAGGAAAAAGAACAACGGGGATAAGCCGGAAAATGACTCTCGTCAGTAGCAAACGGGCCCCCTACTGACACGGCTGCATCGCCCGAGAAAAAGCATCTCCATCGAGTAGTGGTACCGGTACACGCTATCGACCACTCTTGGATGAATAACGGGGATAAACCTGAGGATCACCCTGTGCTGGTAGAAGGAAGGGTTAACGGCAAAAAAAAAAAAAAAAAAAAAAAAATCTTCATTGATGGTGGTGCAAGCCACCGCCTGATTCACCGACCGATGGCGAAAAAAATAAATTTACCCCTGGAGCGGTGTCTGCCTGAGATCGACACCCGATTGGTCGATGGCTCCCCGCTGGCAATACGCGATCGCGTGCAAACTGTTTGCATGAAGTGTGTTGACAATTTCAGCTTCAGCGCACCGATGCTAGGGAGGACACTCGACGGCTATGATAAACTGCTGGGACGAGATTGGCTTCGGCGACACTACCCCCAGATCAGTTGGATGACATGCAAAGTGAAGTGCGTGACTGGTCGGCAGACACTGCCAAGTTGGCGAGGATCAGAGCCGATAACGACACGTGTCAACGCTGTCACGCTGACACGCGCAGTCAAGAAAGGTGCAGAAATGTACGCCATCCATCTGAAGGATTCAACAAACGACGATCAACTGGCCGACATTGGCAAGCTCTGTGCAGCAGTCCCCGAAGATCTGACGAAATTGCTTCGTCAATTCTCATATATATATCCGGACGACTTGCCACCTGGCCTACCGCTAGAACGCCCTCAGGTCGGATCGAACTCGAACCTGGCGCGCAACCAACTATCCGGACACAGTGGCGGCTGACACAACCCGAGCTCCAGGAACTGCGGGACCAGCTGGACTACTTGCTGGCCAAGGGGTTCGTTCAACCGAGCACGTCCCCATTTGCAGCCTCGATCCTGTTCACCCCCAAGAAAGATGGGGGCCTTCGAATGTGCATCGATTATCGCGCCCTGAATAGGGTTACGATAAAATCTCGCTACCCAATCCCGCGTGCGGACGAACTGATCGACCAGCTGCGAGGCGCTTGCTATTTCTCGAAGATCGACATCCGCGGCGGTTACCATCAGATTCGAGTCTTCGTCGACGACTGCCACAAGACCGCGTTTCGTACTCGCTACGGGAGTTACGAATACACAGTCATGCCGTTCGGGTTAACGAATGCCCCCTCCACATTCCAGCTGAAGATGAACAGGGTAATCTGGGATCTACTCGATAAATGTGTGATAATTTATCTGGACGATATCCTGATTTACAGCACGACACGGGAACAGCACTTAAAGAACCTGGAAGGGGTTTTTCAGTGCCTGCAGCAGAATTGTCTCATCACCAAAGGCTCTAAGTGTGAGTTTTTAAAACCCGAACTGGAGTTTTTGGGGCACGTTATTTCGACGGAGGCCGTGAAAATTGACCCCCGCAAAATACGGGCGATTCAGGATGGGAAGCCGACGACCAACCTCTAGGAGCTGCAATCGTTCTTGGGGTTCGTGAATTACGTGCGCCGGTTTATACCCAACATGGCGGGGTTAACTGGAGCACTAACTGACCTACTTCACAAGGGCGTTGATTATCACTGGGGGGAGAAGCGGCAAGCTGCATTTGATGGATTAAAAAATATTTTAATCTCGCCACCAGTACTTCGGATTGCTGACCCAGAACAACCGTTTGAATTCATGACTGACGCAAGTGACATCGCCATCGGAGCAGTCCTGCTACAAGATTTTGGCGACCGCTTTCAGCCAATCGCGTACGAGTCGCGAAAGTTACAGTCGGCCGAGCGAAATTATCCCGTACACGACAATGAAATGTTGGCGATCGTGCACGTGTTCAAGATCTAGCGATGCTACCTGACGGGAGCCGCATGACTGTACGAACAGATCACAAATCTCTACAGTACCTGCGAGCGCAGCCGAATCTCAACCCGTGGCAGATTCGCTGGTTGGATTATCTGGAGTCGAACTTCACGAATCGCATCACGTCCAAGAAGGGTGCCAACAACATTGCTGACGCCCTCTCCAGACCATCTGCCCAAACTGCCGCTGTACTAATCGCCCAGACGAATCCGTTGGTGAGCGGACTATTTACCCACGGATATTCGACCGATCCCTTTTTCGTAAACAACGGCCACCAGCAAGTCACGACTGCACGAGGAGCCTATTAAGTAAAAGCGGGAACGGAACGAATTTGGGTTCCGAGTTACTAATTCAATAAGTCGACGATTCAAACTTATCATGACATTTTGGGGTTGACAAGACTCTGAAGGCACTGCAGCGGTTTTATTACTGGCCATACATGATTTTGGATGTGCAGAAGTACGTGGGCGCGTGCCCGACCTACCAGACGATGAAATCATCACGCCAGCGGTCAGCAGGACTTTTGCAGCCCCTCGAGCCACCCCAGCGACCTTGGCAACACGTGACAATAGATTTTGTCACCGGCCTGCCGACCGGACAAATTGGTAACGACGCAGTTCTTGTCATTGTCGACCGCCTCACAAAAATGGCTCACTTTGCGCCATGTCGTACAACGATCACAGCGGAAGAAACATCGCGGCTGTTCATCTCGACCCTCGTTCGCCTGCATGGTATCCCTACGGCGATCATCAGCGACAGAGACCCAAAATTCACCTCGTGCTTTTGGCAAGACACGTGGAACCGATATGGCACTCGCCTACAGTTCTCATCCGCCTATCACCCGCAAACCGACGGTCAAATAGAACGGACGAATCAGACCATGGAACAGTTGATTCACACAAACTGCCCGGATATCAACAAATAGGAAGATTTGCTATCCATGCTTGAGTTTTCCTACAACAACGCACCCTCCGCCACGATCAATCACTCGCCCTTTTTCCTGAATTACAGGATGGATCCGACAGTACCCATGTCCACCAACGTCAAAAGCCAAGTCCCCCGCTCGCAGCAGTTCGTCGAAGACCTTCAAACCGCCCGCACGAAAGCCATTGCATTTATCCGAAAAGCCAATGTCACTGCCCGCCAATATGCCGACCACCACAGACGAGATATTGTTAGGATTCAGGACGGAGTCTAGGTGAACTTAGGAGCTAGAATTACTCAAAATATAAATCCGAAATTCTGGACAGAAAAGTCGTCTTCACAAGAAACGACGTCGACGGAAAACTAGCTGTTGGAATGTTGCGAAACTTGGATATGTTGTAGCTCTTAATCTTAGCTACCGTTCTCAATTTGAATCACGTTCATTGATGAAGTATTCGCGACGCTATGTCTTTCGACGCACTGAGGGGTAAGCTTGTAGGAGGAGAACTTAACTCAATCTCAAAAGTTCAATCAAGGTTCAAGAATCTCACAAGGAATTAGAGGAGCAAGAGAAAGGTTGGGATAGAAGAGAGGGACGAGAGGGAAGGTCCCAAGAGAGTCCCCAACCAAGGAAACCCCATAAGCACAAAGATTCCCTCCCTATAGGAACCCCAAATTTGACCTTTGTCCCTTCCCAACCAATCCATCCAAGTTGGCCACCCTTGCCAACCTAGCTTGGTTGTTCCCAACCTATTTGCAGCTGTTACAGTAGAGTGACAAGTTTCCCCAAACCCAAAGGTCCCAACTCCATATAAAGTCACCCCACAACTTCACTTTGTAACCGCCGCAATTGTAACGCAAGCTCATGATCTTTGAATCTTCATAGCTTTCGCGTTCTTGCTCCGATTGAAGGGATTCTCGTTGCGTCGGAAAGATCTTCTCAAGATCTATTATCACAAATACCTGCTCAAACAAAAATAACACAGAACACATTCCCAAACTCCAGAACACACCACACACAAATGCTTGCACATTCAAACCACACATGCAAGTTGAAAACATGGGATGGGAGGCAGACAGAATGTGATAGCATATGATGACATCACACAACAATCTCCCCCTCTGGCTGCCAACCATCATCCACCATACCACATCTCAAGCATGCATACTCAATGCACACTCATCCCAGCAAGCTTCATGCCCTTCCAATGATCCGCCTCCGCCAGACGCTTAGTGAAAATATCTGCTGCCTGCTGATGGGTCTTCACTATCTCCAGCCGCACCTCCTTATCAAGGAGTCTCCTCACCCAGTGCCACTTAGGCCTTATGTGTTTTGTAAGCCCATGCAGACAAGCATTCTTGGCGAGCTTCACAGCAGACTCATTGTCACAGAAGATCACCGTCGGCTCCTTCTGACCAACTCCCAACTCCTCCAACAAACGCCTCAGCCACACCACTTCCTTGACCCCATGGTGTAAGGCCATGTACTCAGTCTCACATGAGGACAATCCCACCTCATTTTGCTTCTTGCTGCGCCAGCTCACAGCACCACCTCCTAGCAAGCACACATAACCCCCAATGCTGGTGCCATCCGCTTTCACTGAGTTGAAACTAGCGTCATTATAGCAACTCAAGAGCATCTCACCACTCTTCACATCTGCAGCACCTCTCTGCAACCGCTGCCTCACTCCACTGTACTCCAATCCCACTGATGCCGTAGCACTCACATAGCGGACCAACCTCTTGGCCGCTTCCAGCTGCTCATGACTAGGGCGTGAGACCACACTAGCCAACCGTGATGTAGCAAATGCAATGTCAGGCCGTGTATGATTTGCAGCATAATTCAGCGACCCAACCATCGAATGAAACAGCTTCCTGTCACTCTCACTCACTACCTCCTCATCAGCACATGGCTCCACAGTAAACCCCGAAGGTAGTGGTGTTGCTGGCTTTCCCCCATCTTGCAACCCATACTTCTCAGCCAGCCCCTCACAGTACTTCCTCTGGTGCAACCTCAGCACACCCTTCTCCACATCCCTCTCCACATGCATCCCCAAGTAGTACTTCACCTCACCCATCTTGGAGCACTTGAACTGCATCTCCAGCATCTGCTCTGCGCTGTCCAGCAAAGCAGTTGATGCAGAGAAGAGAAGGATATCATCCACATATACCAGGAGCATGAGGATTTCATCCTTCTCCTGCAGCAGGAACAGGCTGGGGTCACACTCACTCTTCTTGAAACCCCCAGCCAACAGCGCCTCCTCCAACTTGTGATACCATGCACGAGGCGCCTGCTTAAGGCCATAGATGGCCTTCTTCAGCCTGCAGACCCTGCCGCTCCCATCATCCAGCCCCTCTGGCTGCTTCATGTACACCTCCTCCAGAATGATCCCATTCAGAAAGGCAGTCACAATGTCCATCTGCCGTATCTTCCATCCCAGGAGTGCAGCTATCGCTAACAGCACCCTCAGTGTTGTTCCTTTCCCCACAGGAGCAAACACCTCATCATAGTCCTTCCCTTTTGTCTGCTGAAACCCCCTTGCCACAAGCCTAGACTTGTAGCGGGTCAGCTCCCCTTCAGGTCCATACTTGTGCCTGTAGATCATCTTGGAAGTGATTGCCTTCTTCCCTGGAGGCAAGTCACACAAGTCCCATGTCTCGTTCTCAATCAGGGACCCAAACTCCTCATCCTCACTCGCCTTCCACTTCTCCCCATTTGGTCCATTCAAGGCCTCTTCTCGAGTCTTGGGCTCAGGGATTGGTGCCCAGTAGCAGTGAGCGATCTCATCTTCCTCAATCTGCTCAACCACACTCCCAGCCTGCACCACATTCGGCTTGCCTCTTCCCCCATAAGTCAGCCTCACCGGAGGGCACACATCCCTCCTAGGTCGCTCAGGCGGGTGTGGAACTCGAGATGGAGACTCATGCTGCTGCTGCTGCTGCTCCACCTCTGCTGCTCCCCCTTCCTCAGTCACCCCAGACATCTCCTCCTCTGACACTGCAACCTCCACCTGTCTTGAAGGCTGCTGCACCTCATCTGCCTCCACAATGAGCGGTGTAGATGGAAGCTTCTGTTGCTGCTGCTTCCATTCCTTGTAGTACAGGGACTCAAGAAACTTCACATCCCTTGACACTGTCAGCTTCTGGGTGGTCAAGTCCCACAGCAGCCACCCCTTGTGATCCTTTGCAATTCCCAAGTGCACACCCCATCTTCCAGAAGCCTCCAACTTCCCCTTTTTCTCCTTAGGCACATGAAACACCACCATGCACCCAAACGCCCTCAGCATGTTCACAGCTGGAGCACTCCCATACCACTTGACATATGGGATCCACTCCTTATCCCCAATTGTAGCCAGCACCCTGTTCTTCACAAGGGCGACCTGCCTCAGTGCAGACACCCAAAACGGATCAGGCAGCCCTGCACGCCCAAGGAGAGTGCGTGCCCCCTCCTGCAGGGTCCTGTTGAACCTCTCAGCCACGCCATTCTGCTGCGGGTTGTAGGGCACTGTCAGTTGATGCTGGATCCCCTTCCTCTTCAACTCCCCCTCAAAATCAGCTCCAATGAACTCCCCACCATTATCACTGCGGATCACCTTCACCTTGTGTCCGCATTCCCTCTGAGCTCTAGGCATCCACTCCTTAAGGACAGCCGCTGCCACCTCCCCCTTGCTCTTCAAAGGGTAAACCCACACTGCCCGAGTGTGGTCATCCACAATTGTCAAGAAATAGCGGCTGCCTGAGAGGGAAGGGGCTCTTGTGGGCCCCACCACATCCATGTGCACAAGTGCAAGTGGGGTCTTGGCTGGACCTGTAGTGCTGTTGAAGGGAAACTTGGAGAACTTGGTCTCCAAGCATGTAGGGCAGCTCCCAATCTCCTTCACTCCCCCTTTCACCTCCAAGCCTTTCAGGCTCCCATCCTTCACCAACTTCTGCAGCATAGGGAAGTTTACATGACACAGCCTCTCATGCCATGTCTCCCAATCGGCCTCACCACTCCTTGATGAAGCCTTAGCCCATGCCGCACTCGCATCCACACCAGCAAGCACCTCACCATGTGTCTGCTGCTGCTGCACTTTCTTGACTGCTTCCAGGACCCCATCAGTTGGTGCAGTTGCATCTCCTCCTGCTGTTGCCTTTGCCGCTGCTGCCGTTGCTGTTGTTGGAGTCTTCCCATTCCAAGGGATGATGGGCAGCTGCCATAGGTCCTTGATGCAGCTGGTCTCCTCTTCCAGACTCCACAGCACCTTCTTCCCAAGCTTAGCACGGCAGCTGGTTGGTCCAAAGGTCACTTCGGCCTTGCTCTTCTGCAGTCGCCGCACAGAGAGAAGGTTAGCAGACAGACCTTCAACCAGCAGAACATTCCCAAGCCCCACAAGTTCCCCATTGGCTCCCTTAACCTTGGCATTCCCAACACCAATCACGGGGAGCAAAGCACCTGACGCTGCTGCCACATACTTAATCTTCCCAGGGGGTTTTACCTCATCAAGCAAATCTGCCCGTGGGGTCATGTGACTGGTGCAACCTGAATCAATCACCCAGTGCGTGAGAGGGTGCATCACAACCTTTCCCACAGATCCCACATCACCCTCATGCCCATGCACATCCTCAACCATGAGAAACATCCCAAGATAGGCATTACCTTGTGCACCTTCACCTTGTGCACCTGAGCCTTGCACAGCGCCACCTTGTGCGCGTTCACCACTGGGCGGCTTCATGCCTGGAGGTGCCCATCCCTCCGGCCTGCTGAAGCACTTGAACCAAGGATGCCCGACCTTCTTGCAGTACCAGCAGGTGCCCTCCATTCTGGTACTCCCCCTGCCACCAGAGCTCCCATGCCCCTCATTATAGTCACCTCGGCCTCTACCTCTGCCAAAGCTCCTCCCACGGCCTCGGCCTCTCCAACCCCCTCTTCCTCTGCCGCGCCCTGCAGCTCCATACCCCTCAGCAGTCTTAGTGGCAGCACCGCCTCCCACATGGCGTCTGCGGAAGTCCTCCTGCAGAATCTGCTGCCTTAGCCACTCAGGTGTCCATTGATCTTGCTGAGAGTTGAGGGTGGGGATGAGGTTGTCCCACGAGTTATCCAACACCGAGATGATCTTGGTGCACTGCTGCAGCTGAGAAACGCTGCTGCCCGCTGCTGCCATCCTTGCATAGGTGTCCTTGATCTTGTCAAGGACCGGTTTCACATCATCCCCTGGTCGCATGGAGATTGCAGCAAGTTCCTTCTCGAGCACGATCACCATCGGAAGAGTGTTGGGCTGAATCACATCGCGTAGTAGTTTCCACGCCCTTGGACCCGAATCATCCGCTTCCACAAGATCCTTGATGTGCTCGAACATCTCCTTGTTGACCGATTGAAGGATGAGGTCGAAAAGCACCGTGCTTTTCTCAATCCACCGTTCGCGTTCTTCGCCTTCTTCCGGCATCTTCTCCTCCCCAACAGCAATCTTCAGTAGCTTGTAGCGTTTGAAGGCACTCCTCATGCGCCCGCTCCATTCCTCATAGTTGGAGCCATCCAAAGCTTCAACCTTTGATGGTGGCGGCTCACTTGTCTTCTCAGGTACAGCTCCTCTTCCATTAGCATCTCCTCCTCTCTCATTCATCTTCTCCTTGAGAAATGACGAATTTCAGCTCCCCCTTTGCTGTCCAGACTCAGCTCCCTCGATATTTTCACAAGTGTCGGCGTCCACGAAATTTCGGCAGAGTTTCCCCTTAGCGGAAGACACATCCAACCTTTAGAACACCACTTAGGCACACCCACAGGCCATGGTGGGTCTAGAAGGGTCTTCACACTTCTGTAGACTCCTCTCAATGTCCTCAATATTGCTCTGATACCACTTGTTAGGATTAAGGACGGAGTCTAGGTGAACTTAGGAGCTAGAATTACTCAAAATATAAATCCGAAATTCTGGATAGAAAAGTCGTCTTCACAAGAAACGACGTCGACGGAAAACTAGCCGTTGGAATGTTGCGAAACTTGGATATGTTGTAGCTCTTAATCTTAGCTACCGTTCTCAATTTGAATCACGTTCATTGATGAAGTATTCGCGACGCTATGTCTTTCGACGCACTGAGGGGTAAGCTTGTAGGAGGAGAACTTAACTCAATCTCAAAAGTTCAATCAAGGTTCAAGAATCTCACAAGGAATTAGAGGAGCAAGAGAAAGGTTGGGATAGAAGAGAGGGACGAGAGGGAAGGTCCCAAGAGAGTCCCCAACCAAGGAAACCCCATAAGCACAAAGATTCCCTCCCTATAGGAACCCCAAATTTGACCTTTGTCCCTTCCCAACCAATCCATCCAAGTTGGCCACCCTTGCCAACCTAGCTTGGTTGTTCCCAACCTATTTGCAGCTGTTACAGTAGAGTGACAAGTTTCCCCAAACCCAAAGGTCCCAACTCCATATAAATTCACCCCACAACTTCACTTTGTAACCGCCGCAATTGTAACGCAAGCTCATGATCTTTGAATCTTCATAGCTTTCGCGTTCTTGCTCCGATTGAAGGGATTCTTGTTGCGTCGGAAAGATCTTCTCAAGATCTATTATCACAAATACCTGCTCAAACAAAAATAACACAGAACACATTCCCAAACTCCAGAACACACCACACACAAATGCTTGCACATTCAAACCACACATGCAAGTTGAAAACATGGGATGGGAGGCAGACAGAATGTGATAGCATATGATGACATCACACAACAGATATTACCTTGACTGCAGGGAAACTAGTCCTCCTTGACACCAAAAACCTTCGCCTGCAAATACCTTCAAAACTTCGACCCCGCTATTGTGGACCTTTCAAGATAATCAAAATGCTCATGCCAGAGACCGCCCAAGAAATGCTCATCAAACCCGCGAAGATCCTGAGCCTTCGCGTACGAATCAACGGTCAGGAACAACACGTTGACTTCCTCATACGATGGACTTATTGTACCAGTAAGGGCGACACGTGGGTTCACTCGGTACAGGTACAGTCACCTATTGTACTCCGGGATTATTTATCCCGCAAGCACGTCGCAAATATAGACCACCTTTGTTAGAGGGGGGGGGGGGGGGGGGGGGGGGTATTGTAAGGAATTTAGCATTCCTTAGCGCGCCATACCGCTACCGCATATATCAAACCCCACACGGCGCCGGCATCTGCCCTAGCTTCGGCCCAAACACGACACCGAACCATTTCCGCGTCACTCCGAAGCATTTCGCGTCCTCGAATGCCTCCTACGAACCTGTTTGATCACGCGGCTAGGATTGCTCTGGTGTTCCTATATCTTCCTTTGTCATTCCATTGTACGACATTCTATTATTCTGAACCTCGACTTTCGATTCCGCGCTACTCTGGTGAAATACTCATAACAATATCTAATGGATAAATGATCAGGAATTTGTAACCTCAGCGAGGAGTTCCAGCCTCCTGTAAGGAATTAGTAATTCCTTACTGCGGCTTGCTACAGGGCGTACGATTCGAACAGTCCCGAACCAGCGAAAGGGTTCCAGACCTTTCAGTTCGAGCCTCCTGGGCCTTTCCGGACCTCGCTACGACACATCGAGGTCTTCGATACCTTTCCCGAACCTTCTGATCCTACGTCCAGGATCACCCTAGGTTTTCTATACATTGTGTTGTCTTTCATTTTACATGTCATATCATATTCCCTGAGCACCCGGGGGGCGCGCGAGAGATTTCCCTTTTAATGAATACTGGCCGTACTATAGGGGCAACGTGGACTATGGGGTTTTCCCAGGAAATGGGGCGTTGTTTTTTGTGTACTGTGCATGGGCGGCTTGACTGGTGTATGCAGCGACTTTGTAAACATCACCACGTCGCAAGCCTCTCTACCTGTGTATCAACTCCGCGTTTCAAGCAGGTTTCTCGATAACCTAGGGGTCACCCTGAAGAATCTGAGTTTGCCCGGGATCCAACTCTTCCAAACTTAGTAGCCCTAAAAGTTTTGACTGCTTTTGCAGGCATGGGTTTCGCGCTGCTCGGAATGTGCCACTCCTGACAATGACAGGGGAGCCATTTTTTCTAGGGGTGCGAACTTCTACATTAGATTTTTCATGATGAGTTTATCCCCTACTCAAAATTTGGCTGTGGGATGATTTTGGCTTGCCTGTCAATGGACGGGTATCGATCAGTGCCTATTTTTCACGAGTAAATTACACTGATTCTCTGATTTTCAGAGTTGATTTTGTGTACCACCCTTACGCCTCTGGGTAAAATTTTGAGATTATACATTTTCTCTGATAAGCCAGGGTTTTCTTTTGTACCACCCTGAGGGGTTTACTGTAAGGGGGATACCCCCGGATTTTCTTGTACCCCCCTGTCCATACATGCCCCCTTGTTCACGCGGACCGCCGAGTTGGCCCAACGTTATATACCCCCGGATTTTCGTATACCCCCCTGTCTACATACGTGGCCCCATATCCCCGCCGTATTCACGCAGACCGCCCAGCTGGCCCACGTCACATGATGCATGTCTCGCCCTTGCTGGCAGATTCCATGATCCCTATTGGACACATGTTTTCCTCACGCCTCCCTTTTTCCAAGCCCTCTCTAGCCCCACTCCCCCACTTTAGCCTCTCTCACAGCATTCGCGTATCTTCGTTCCTCACCTTAGTCGTTTTTTCAGCAAACGCCCTCTCTCATTACCAGGGTCCGCCATGCCTAGCGCGGTTGATCTCGATGACGGCGTCAGTGGTGGAAAGAATCCAGGCCCCTAGTGCTCGCTAAGTGCCATGCACTAACAACCCTGCTAGCATACTAGCAGAACGTACAGTACCATACCACATCACATGCTACGAGTGGCCGCTATTTCCGCTACTGCTCCCGCTACTATGAGTGACGCCAATTCCGTTGGCTGCTGCCGCCCATGGGACGATTGCCGCTGCTACTGCTGTGCATAGTGGGATCGTAGCTGCTGCTGCTAAGTGACCGAATTTCCGCGTAGACTGCTGTTGTTAGCTGCGAGTGCCGCGATTTTCACTCATGTTGCTACATGTGACGAGATGAGTTTGCCGTCACTGCTAACGCAACCAGTGATACGATTGTTGCTCACGTTGCTTATTTGTGTGTGTGACAGGATCGCCATCACCGCTGTTGCTGCTGTGGGTAACGAGTTCCTGTTGCTTGCTGCGGCGGCAGCGCAGGGTGAGATTGCATCAGTTAGTTGCTACTACAGGTGACAAGTTTCTGTAGCTACCGCAGTTACGAATGTCAACAATTTTAACTGGTACGGAGCAGATTAGAGCCCAACGGACGACATGGAATGGCGGGGATTCGTATTCGTGGAGCCTGGCTCCCTGGCTCCTGCGCCTTCAGGTCCACAGTGAAAAGAGGTCACCTACAGTATTTGTGAGTGGAGCAATGAATGGGAAGCGGGAAAATCAAGGGAGCCCAGCCGAGCATCGAAGACCACGACAACGGGCGCACAACAAATCTGCTTGACTCGGAGAATACCCGTATCGGATAGTGGAACATCCCTCCGATTCGGCTACACAACCTCTAAAATTCAAACTAAGTTCAACATGTTACTAGCCTTTTGGAGTCCTGTGCTACTAGTGTGTATGGCATGATGCTGATGATGCTGATGAGTGAATGAAAGAATATAACACTATATTTTATTGCAAGATCACATGCCCCCCTAGATCCACGGTCTCTAATAACACACTTTTAAGAGGGTGAAATAAAGGCACCGTGACTTGTCAGAGTAAAAAACTCCAAAACGTAGGGTTACCCTAATGCCTCAGGGTAAATGTGGAGGATCACTCTGGTTTTCAGAGTAGTGGGAAAAGTAAATTCCAGATTTCAGAGTAGTGAAAATCCTAAGATCAGCACTGGTATCGATATTCTGAGTGCGTCAAAAATAGGGCTAGGTCGAAATTTCACCCTGTTTTCCTTGACAAAGCAGTATAATTACCCTGACTTCCAGAGGCCTGGTTTCAAGCGAATGTCAGATTCCTTGACGCGCTCCTTGGCGCGTTCCTATTGGCTGTGGATAGACGGATTTTCCTGGGGCAACGCCGACGGATTCCGTTGGCGTTGCAGGCGTAATTCTACTGGACCGTCAGCGAGCTAGTGGATTTCTGCCTCGACATTGGTTGGCGAGCCTGACACATCTGGATTTTTAGAGGCTCGCCGACCAGTAGGAGAGGTCGCTCTGAAAACACAAGAGCAAACTGATTGGACGGCCTTAGATCATCCGAATTGACTGTCTAATTTAATGTTCAGTTGAGACAGGTACACTTTGCGTACAAGGAGAGGCCCGTAAGGATAAAATGCCTATGGAATACTCCTGGGCGTAAAAGGAGGTCGTCTACAAGGCATATGACCTGTATTGTCATTCACTCGTTCACAGTTTCGCCATTGCCCTCTGCGCTACAGACGATGTCTGCAAAGTGCCCTGCCCAAAAAAAATCCCAATTGCACCCCCTCGCCCAATAGAAGAAGTTTACGGGCAGTATCCGTTTCGAGAGAGTCCCCCTCGCCGGCAACTGTGCTGAGTCATCATGACAGCGGGGATGAACATGCGGACAGCGACGAAGCAGTTGCAGCCTTCTGGTTTTCGCCACATATTTTCGGACGGCGTCGCGAGGGCGGTTCGTCCAGGCCCAAATGACCTTTCGCGTTTTTCGCGAAGCCGCGAAGGACACTAGCGCAATGGAAATCTACGGAACACCGCAAACGGGAAACGCCTCGATGACTCAGCATGGCATGACCCCTTGGCAACTGACTGAACTAGAGCCCTATTCGGTCGAAACAACTCCACACTTATCGAAGCCGCACAAATGTGAGCAAATGTCATGTTCGTGACCTATTCGTTGAGCTAATTAAACAGCACTTGGGGTTGTTTCTGATCGTCGCAGTGCAAAACAGCGTAACCGTGGTTACATACGCAATCTGAACTCTGCCACCCAACCTTCCCCTATTGCGACAAAAAAAAGTTACCAACGAGCTCACCCTGAATCCCTCGCTTCTAGCAGCGAAAGCCGGCGAAATACCAAATCGACAGAAGCCCCCGCGGCTCGAAAAGGTGGCGTTCCTCTCTCGGGCTCAAGCTGTACTCGGCAGTTCCATTCATAACATCTCCCAAGGGACCCTCCGCTGGGATTGGCGCGTTTGTGTTAACATGCTAGCGAGCTCTGATTGGCCGTCACTTCGTGCGATCCGATTGGCCGCATCTCGGCGACACTCGGCCCATGCAAAACGCTCTCCCGTGATCCGTCGCAGGAGCACGCGAAGCCTCGCGTGCTGGGGGACGGCGACGGGGGATCCAGCGAATGTACAGCAGCATGTTCTAGGAGAGCAAATTCGTGCTTCGTGTCTCTGCAGAACAAGAAAGCTGACTCTGCCGTTGCCACCTAAGATTCTATTGAACGCATTTCTCGATAGCTCCATCGTACCTCCATCGATAACTCCAATGGTGACTCTTCAGAGAACCCCACCAATGGCCGCGCTTCTAGATTTCAATACAGTGCAAGAACTCTATCTTCTACACCTACCCTGCTCTTTCTTTCCTGCGTACGAACCTACGATTTTTTACCCGGGTTTGAAATTCTTCACGATCCGCAGCTTGCTAGTTTCGTTTGAAGCTCGAGAGTCTGATTTTGGTCACACTGCGACTTTCCCATCTTCGTCCGTATCGAACCTGGAAGCCGATCTTTCGTTTTACGCACCAATCTTACGTAGTACGTTCCCCTGCGGAATCCGATGGCGCGACGCCCCATGGAGGCTTTAACTATAAGGACGCCAGGACGGAGCAACGAGGAAAGCTTTTTCAGGGTGGAATATTGTCCAGCGGGAGAGGGGAAATGGAAGGGTAAATGGTGGGATGGGTACCTGAAGGTGAAAGGGAGCTCTTGCGTTCTTCAGCGAATGGCGGCCCAGACCCTGCCCGACAAGGAGCTAAAGCGAGGCGTCATTCAAAAGGTGCGAATTGGATGAGGGAGGGACGTAGGCAGGCTGCAGGTAAGTTTGCAGGTAGGCTGCAGGCAGGCTGCAGGTAAGTTTGCAGGTAGGCTGCAGGCAGGCTGCAGGTAAGTTGGCAGGTAGGCTGCAGGCAGGCTGCAGGTAAGTTTGCAGGTAGGCTGCAGGCAGGCTGCAGGTAAGTTTGCAGGTAGGCTGCAGGCAGGCTGCAGGTAAGTTTGCAGGTAGGCTGCAGGCAGGCTGCAGGTAAGTTTGCAGGTAGGCTGCAGGCAGGCTGCAGGTAAGTTTGCAGGTAGGCTGCAGGCAGGCTGCAGGTAAGTTTGCAGGTAGGCTGCAGGTAGGCTGCAAGTAGGCTGCAGGTAGGCTGCAGGTAGGCTGCAAGTAGGCTGCAGGTAGGCTGCAGGTAGGCTGCAAGTAGGCTGCAGGTAGGCTGCAGGTAGGCTGCAGGTAGGCTGCAAGTAGGCTGCAGGTAGGCTGTAGGTAGGCTGCAGGTAGGCTGCAGGTAGGCTGCAAGTAGGCTGCAGGTAGGCTGCAAGTAGGCTGCAGGTAGGCTGCAAGTAGGCTGCAGGTAGGCTGCAGGTAGGCTGCAGGTAGGCTGCAGGTAGGCTGCAAGCAAGTAGGCTGCAGGTAGGCTGCAGGTAGGCTGCAGACAGGCTGGAAGTAGCCTGCAGATAGGCTGCAGGTAAGCTGCAGGTAGGATGCAGGTAGGATGCAGGTAGGATGCAGGTAGGCTTGCAAGTAGGCTGCAGCTAGGCGCGAAGGTAGGCTACAGGTAGCCGGCGGGTAGGCTGCCGATAGGATGCAGGTAGGCGGCAGGTAGGCTGCGGTAGGCTTGCAATTGGGCTGCAGGTAGGCTCGAAGGTACGCTACAGGTAGCCTGCGGGTAAAGTGCAGGCAGGCTGCAGGCAGGCTTGCTACTAGTGGGCTCGAAGGTACGCTGCAGGTTGGCTGCAGGTTGGCTGCAGGTAAGCTCTGCAGGTAGGCTTGCGGGTAGGCTGCAGGTAAGCAATGCAGGTAGGCTTGCGGATAGGCTGCAGGTAAGCTCTGCAGGTAGGCTTGCGGGTAGGCTGCAGGTAAGCTCTGCAGGTAGGCATGCGGGTAGGCTGCAGGTAAGCTCTGCAGGTAGGCTTGCGGGTAGGCTGCAGGTAAGCTCTGCAGGTAGGCATGCGGGTAGGCTGCAGGTAAGCTCTGCAGGTAGGCATGCGAGTGTAGTGGGACGGATGCACCAGCGAAATGACCAAATCCAAAGGATGGTTACGGGGAGTAAGGGGGCGGGGAGGAGGAGGGGATGGAGGGAGGGAGGAGGAGGAGGAGAGGGAGGGAGAGGGAACGGGATAAAGGGAGGAGGGGAGGAAGGGAGAGGAGGAGGAAGGGAGGGGCGAAGGAAGGGATGGGGAGAGGAAAGGAAGGGGGGGGGGAGAGCGAGGGAGTGGGGGATGGAGGGGTTGAGAGAGGAAGCGGGAATGGAGGAGGGAGGGAGGTGGAGAGAGAGGGATGAACAGAGGGCGGCAGCAAAGCGAGAGATAGCAATGTGGAGGTGTTTCGCGTCAATGAGTGCCCAGCGCTACCGGAACAGCGGTTCGGCCTGGCAGTGCAGCGCACCCTGGGTGGCGGTAGGCTTGCGGGTAGGGTGCAGGTAAGCTCTGCAGGTAGGCTTGCGGGTAGGTTGCAGGTAACCTCTGCAGGTAGGCTTGCGGGTAGGCTGCAGGTAAGCTCTGCAGGTAGACTTGCAGGTAGGCTGCAGGTAAGCTCTGCAGGTAGGCTTGCGGGTAGGCTGCAGGTAACCTCTGCAGGTAGGCTTGTGGGTAGGCTGCAGGTAAGCTCTGCAGGTAGGCTTGCGGGTAGGGTGCAGGTAAGCTCTGCAGGTAGGCTTGCGGGTAGGTTGCAGGTAACCTCTGCAGGTAGGCTAGCGGGTAGGCTGCAGGTAAGCTCTGCAGGTAGGCTTGCGGGTAGGCTGCAGGTAAGCTCTGCAGGTAGGCTTGCGGGTAGGCTGCAGGTAAGCTCTGCAGGTAGGCTTGCGGGTAGGCTGCAGGTAAGCTCTGCAGGTAGGCTGCAGGTAGGCTCGTAGGTAGGCTGAAGGTAGGCTCGTAGGTACGCTGCAGGTAGGCTCGTAGGTACGCTGCAGGTAGGCTCGTAGGTACGCTGCAGGTAGGCTCGTAGGTACGCTGCAGGTAGGCTCGTAGGTACGCTGCAGGTAGGCTCGTAGGTACGCTGCGGGTAGGCTCGTAGGTACGCTGCAGGTAGGCTCGCAGGTACGCTGCGGGTAGGCTCGTAGGTACGCCGCGGGTAGGCTCGCAGGTACGCTGCAGGTAGGCTCGTAGGTACGCTGCAGGTAGGCGCGTAGGTACGCTGCAGGTAGGCTCGTAGTTACGCTGCAGGTAGGATCCTAGGTACGCTGCAGGTAGGCTCGTAGGTACGCTGCAGGTAGGCTCGTAGGTACGCTGCAGGTAGGCTCGTAGGTACGCTGCAGGTAGGCTCGTAGGTGCGCTGCAGGTAGGCTCGTAGGTACGCTGCAGGTAGGCTCATAGGTACGCTGCAGGTAGGCTCGTAGGTTCGCTGCAGGTAGGCTCGTAGGTACGCTGCAGGTAGGCTCGTAGGTACGCCGCAGGCAGGCTCGCAGGTACGCTGCAGGTAGGCTCGTCGTAGGTACGCTGCAGGTAGGCTCGTAGGTACGCTGCAGGTAGGCTCGTAGGTACGCTGCAGGTAGGCTCGCAGGTACGCTGCAGGTAGGCTCGTAGGTACGCTGCAGGTAGGCTCGTAGGTACGCTGCAGGTAGGCTCATAGGTACGCTGCAGGTAGGCTCGAGGTACGCTGCAGGTAGGCTCGTAGGTACGCTGCTGCAGGTAGGCTCGCAGGTACGCTGCAGGTAGGCTCGTCGTAGGTACGCTGCAGGTAGGCTCGTCGTAGGTACGCTGCAGGTAGGCTCGTAGGTACGCTGCAGGTAGGCTCGCAGGTACGCTGCAGGTAGGCTCGCAGGTACGCTGCAGGTAGGCTCGTAGGTACGCTGCAGGTAGGCTCGTAGGTACGCTGCAGGTAGGCTCGTAGGTTCGCTGCAGGTAGGCTCGTAGGTACGCTGCAGGTAGGCTCGTAGGTACGCTGCAGGTAGGCTCGCAGGTACGCTGCAGGTAGGCTCGTAGGTACGCTGCAGGTAGGCTCGTAGGTACGCTGCAGGTAGGCTCGCAGGTACGCTGCAGGTAGGCTCGTAGTTACGCTGCAGGTAGGCTCGTAGGTACGCTGCAGGTAGGCTCGTAGGTACGCTGCAGGTAGGCTCGTAGGTGCGCTGCAGGTAGGCTCGTAGGTACGCTGCAGGTAGGCTCGTAGGTACGCTGCAGGTAGGCTCGTAGGTGCACTGCAGGTAGGCTCGTAGGTACGCTGCAGGTAGGCTCGTAGGTACGCTGCAGGTAGGCTCATAGGTACGCTGCAGGTAGGCTCGTAGGTACACTGCAGGTAGGCTCGTAGGTACGCTGCAGGTAGGCTCGTAGGTACGCTGCAGGTAGGCTCGTAGGTACGCTGCAGGTAGGCTCGTAGGTACGCTGCAGGTAGGCTCGTAGGTACGCTGCAGGTAGGCTCGTAGGTACGCTGCAGGTAGGCTCGTAGGTGCGCTGCAGGTAGGCTCGTAGGTACGCTGCAGGTAGGCTCGTAGGTACGCTGCAGGTAGGCTCGTAGGTGCACTGCAGGTAGGCTCGTAGGTACGCTGCAGGTAGGCTCGTAGGTACGCTGCAGGTAGGCTCGTAGGTTCGCTGCAGGTAGGCTCGTAGGTACGCTGCACGTAGGCTCGTAGGTACGCTGCAGGCAGGCTCGCAGGTACGCTGCAGGTAGGCTCGTCGTAGGTACGCTGCAGGTAGGCTCGTAGGTACGCTGCATGTAGGCTCGTAGGTACGCTGCAGGTAGGCTCGCAGGTACGCTGCAGGTAGGCTCGTGGGTACGCTGCAGGTAGGCTCGTAGGTACGCTGCAGGTAGGCTCGTAGGTACGCTGCAGGTAGGCTCGCAGGTACGCTGCAGGTAGGCTCGTCGTAGGTACGCTGCAGGTAGGCTCGTCGTAGGTACGCTGCAGGTAGGCTCGTAGGTACGCTGCAGGTAGGCTCGCAGGTACGCTGCAGGTAGGCTCGCAGGTACGCTGCAGGTAGGCTCGTAGGTACGCTGCAGGTAGGCTCGTAGGTACGCTGCAGGTAGGCTCGTAGGTACGCTGCAGGTAGGCTCGTAGGTACGCTGCAGGTAGGCTCGTAGGTACGCTGCAGGTAGGCTCGTAGGTACGCTGCAGGTAGGCTCGTAGGTACACTGCAGGTAGGCTCGCAGGTACGCTGCAGGTAGGCTCGTAGGTACGCTGCAGGTAGGCTCGCAGGTACGCTGCAGGTAGGCTCGTAGGTACGCTGCAGGTAGGCTCGTAGGTACGCTGCAGGTAGGCTCGTAGGTTCGCTGCAGGTAGGCTCGTAGGTACGCTGCAGGTAGGGCTCGTAGGTACGCTGCAGGTAGGCTCGCAGGTACGCTGCAGGTAGGCTCGTAGGTACGCTGCAGGTAGGCTCGTAGGTACGCTGCAGGTAGGCTCGCAGGTACGCTGCAGGTAGGCTCGTAGGTACGCTGCAGGTGGGCTCGTAGGTACGCTGCAGGTAGGCTCGCAGGTACGCTGCAGGTAGGCTCGTAGTTAGGCTGGAGGTCGGCTTTTAGGTCTCCTTGCAGGAAGGCTGCAGGTAGGTTGCAGGTAGGGTGCAGGCTGGTTACAGGTTGGTTGCATGCAGGCTGCCCTTTCGTGAGCACGGTGTGGGCTTGCACGTCTGAGTGCATGGCTTTCACACCTTTCTGATCGCATATGCCTGGTCACTGAAAGGTTTTTTTTTCTCCTCTATCATCGCATTCTTATGTGTGGCTCAGGCGCGTCATCCATCTGCTGTTTGGTCCCGTATACCCCCCTGCAATAGGTGGGCGAGTTTTATTTCAACAAAGTTAAACGATTGACCGAGGAAGAGTACGGTACGGGCTTAAAAGAGCACCTAAAGACGGAGGTCTTCTTGTTGGATGACACGCCCGTGACAGTCAGCTATGACATGTCCACGACAGTTGGAGAGCTTCTGGCGGTATGTGTAATTGTGGATGCAAGTAACTCTGCCAAGAAGATTTCGATGTCCATGCGATTCGTTTGTCTGGGACCATGTTGTTCTCCCATCTTTCTCACATGTTCAGCTCTGGTCCTTTCCCATTGTGCAGGGCATGGACGGGGATGTGGGTGAGAAGGACTCTCGGACCATTGGGCTATACGAGCACAGAAAGTACTACACCACGGTCAACGACAACGATACAAATGTTACAAGTGAGTGAGTCGGTTTCCCCAGTTGTCATCATACTTGCCTGTAGGGTCAATGAACTATGGGATTGCATGGTATTGTGTGCGCTTATTCTTTCCTATTGGACGAATGAATCAAAGTAGTGTACAACTAGGCTTGAGCATAGGCTCGGCCTGGCCCGACTCTGGTCGGTCCGGCATATGGTCAGGCTGGGCCGGGAGCGGGCCAAGGTCAGGCCTACCTTGGGAACTCCCAGGCCCGTGCCGGGGTGTAGGGGTTTAGGTGTCGGGGCTTCTGCTCATGCACACCTGGGAGCGCGCCACTTTGTCGTCCCATGGAGCCATGGCGGCGTTTATGCTCGCTCTCACATACACCGGCACCCAAAGGGCGACCAGCTTGCTCGCAGGTCGGCTGGTTGTGAGGGTTGGTGATTTCAGTAAAATCAGGGCTGTTGGCAGGGCGTGCCTTTCAGCAAGTAATGGCGGCGTTTGAGCTCGCGGCCGCCCCAAGGGCCACCAGGCTTGCTTGCGGGTGGGGAAGGTTGGGCAAGGTAAAGTTGTCACACCTGAGATGCTTGTGATCGCTCCCTAGTTTCGCCCAAACTAAAAAACGCGAAGGTTTGCTTTCAATGACATGAGGGTTGGATGTCCATCCGCAACCACTCTCCATCCCTTCCTTTGCCTCCCCTTATCCCCTCCCCTGCCCTCCCCTCTGCTCCCCTCCACTCATGCATATTAGGCTGTGTCTCCAGCGTAGCCACCGTTGCTGCAGAGGCTGCTTCTGTTCTTTTGTGTTTCAAATATCACCTTTTCTTCCTTTCTTTTCTGCTCTAACATCCTCAGCTTGCATCCCCCCGCTTTTCCTCCCTAGGCCGGACTCATCCCCTTTGTCTGATGCACATCTAAGATGACCCGCGCCAAAAATCCTGCTGGTGCCATGGCTGTGCCTGTGTGTGGGTGACTCAAAGGTCAAACCTTCGATTTTCCTGTGCGCCTGTTCCCCTGGTTGGACTCATCCCCCTGTATCTTACGCACATTCAGGCTGCGCCCCCAGCAAAGCCCGTATTGGTACAATGGTTGTGGTAACTCTCGGATTCTCCCAGCAAAGCCCATCTGTTTCTTCCCGTACCTCCCCAGGCTGGACTCTCTCTCTCCGTGTCCAGGCTGCCCCTCCACAATCATACTTGACGCTAATTGTATTCGAGTATTTCCTTTCTTATATTGAGCAGGCGAGTACAATCTGCTGGATGAGGGCTCTTACATGGGGACCGTGATGGAAGAGCTAGAAAAATTCAAGGGGAACAGCATGCAGATGGAGAAGTCACGCCTTCTGTTGCACAAAAAATATTCGCCTCAAAACGGGGGGTCTATGACTGACCCCGTCCTCCTCCATGCGTGCTACGCCCAAGTGAGGGATATTTTCCAGCGAGGAGGCTTCTTTTTGAAGAGGTGTGATGTCGCCTGCCTAGCTGCGCTGGAACTTCACGTGGAGTTTGGCATGCTTCCTGAGCCACAAGTGACACTGTAAGCTTTCTCATGGCTCACATAGGCGCGCATTTCGAATTGATTGTTTGGTGAGATGAGCAGCTCAAAGCCATGCATAGGAGCGAGCACAAATGGGCAGTATGGAAAGGGGGGAAGGGTCCCGATTCTCAGGTGAGTGGAGAGATGTAGGGTGAGGAGAGAAGGGGGTGAGATGTAGGGTGAGGAGGTATGTGTTCTAAATTTGCGTGAAGTGGTCGACCTCTCACTTTCCTTACCTCTTATGCATCTTTTTTTCAATCCGATCTCTCTCACTACTCTTTTTCCTCTCCCATCCACCCCTCCTCTTTCATCTTCTCCTCATCCTCCTCTTTCCCTCTCTCTTTCCTCTCTCGCACCCATTCTCCTCCATGCAGAGACTGGGGAGCGGAGGTGGGAAGAATTATTCCCACAGATCAGCGGCCTCTGCAATCCAAGGAGGCGTGGAAAAGAGGCGTGCTCCAGCTTTACAGAGCATTGGTACCTGTAGTGATTGTACCTCATTCGTTCTCTACAACTATTCTGAACAACGTTCACCATCTCCTTTTATGCTCTCCTCCATTCAAGCATGTGATTATGTCCGTGGCTCCTTCATCCCAACGGCTTCCGGTTAATTGTGTTAAATAGTGTATAATATCCTCTTAAAATCTCTCAAATCTCATTTTTGTACCCACATCTGTCTTGTAGCCATCCCTATCCCAGATGGAGTCAAGCCAACAGTTCTTACGACTTATCGCCAATCTTCCCTATGTGGGTTCGGAGTTTTACTCCGTGAGAGGCGAACGCTTCACTGTACCAACGGTCCTAGTTGGGATTAACAGATATGGGGTGAGTGTGTGTCAGCCATACATGTCTGGGGTTATTGGTCTATTTTGCTTTGAATGCTATCCCTCATTTTCCCTACTCACTCATTCCCTCTCTTCATCCGCTCGCACGTGTAACACCAGATTCATTTCTTATGGCACATGCGTCGAGAGTACTTGTACTCTATCAAGTGGAGTGACGTCTCCGAAGTGTTCCACAGCCCAACAGGCTTCACTCTAACACTTCGGAGGAGCAATGCAAGTTCGGTGGTTACTTTAAACCCCATAACATCTGAACTGATTAAGATTCAAGCAGCCATTACCACTCATCGGGCGCGTGGCCTGTTGTTCCATCCAGAGGCCTTACAGAACACTTCTTTGCTTGCCCCGATTGCTGCTGCTACTGCGGCTGCTGCTGCTGCTTCTTCTGCTGCTACTGCTGCTGCTGTTGCTGCATCTCGTGGTGCTGCCACTGCTGCTGCTTCTGTTACCAGGGCTGCCACTCTTGCTGCTGATACCGCTGCAACCACCGCTGCTGCTCCTGCTGATGCCGGTGCTTCCACCGCTGCTACTGTTACCGGTGCTGCCACTCCTGCTGCTGCTACCGGTGCTGCCACCGCTGCTGCTCCTGCTGATGCTGGTGCTGCAACCGCTGCTGCTGACGCCGGTGCTACCCCCGCTGCTGCTGATGCTGGTGCTGCCACCGCTGCTTCCGTTACCGGTGTTGCCACTCCTGGTGCTGATACCGGTGCTGCCACCGCTGCTGCTCCTGCTGATGCCGGTGCTGCCACCGCTGCTGCTGATGCCGGTGTTGCCACCCCTGCTGCTGATACTGGTGCTGCCACCGCTGCTGCTCCTGCTGATACTGGTGCTGCCACCGCTGCTGCAGGAGCTGTACCTTCCACAGTTGTTGCGAAAAGCCAAGCTCAAATGAAGGTATGATGCTTTCCTAAGGCACTCTGGTGATGTATTCTGGTGGGGTAACATTAGGGTTAAAGGTTGAGGTAGATGGGCTAAAGGGGTGATGAGATGGCATGAATGGTTGAGGTGGGCTAATGCGCTCTTGAGGTAGTGTGATAGGTAAAGGTCGGTGAGCTGATGGATTGATGAGGTGACACGATGAGGTGGGTGGGTGGGCTCATGGCTGCTCTGACGGATTGATGGAGGTTGGTTGCCCAATGAGCTGAGCTGAGGGGTTGGCATGAATGGTTGAGATAGGTGGCTGTTCATCGGCTGATGCGTTTATGGGGTAGGTGGGGTGTTGGGCTGACTGATAGATTGATCGACCGGCAGAGGCAGTTGGGTGATGGCAGAGGAGGTAGGTGGGAGATGGCAGAGGAGGTAGGTGGGTGATGGCAGAGGAGGTAGGTAGGTGATGGCAGAGGAGGTAGGTGGGTGATGGCAGAGGAGGTAGGTGGGAGATGGCAGAGGAGGTAGGTGGGTGATGGCAGAGGAGGTAGGTGGGTGATGGCAGAGGAGGTAGGTGGGTGATGGCAGAGGAGGTAGGTGGGAGATGGCAGAGGAGGTAGGTGGGTGATGGCAGAGGAGGTAGGTGGGTGATGGCAGAGGAGGTAGGTGGGTGATGGCAGAGGAGGTAGGTGGGAGATGGCAGAGGAGGTAGGTGGGAGATGGCAGAGGGAGGGTAGGTGGGTGATGGCAGAGGAGGTAGGTGGGAGATGGCAGAGGAGGTAGGTGGGTGATGGCAGAGGAGGTAGGTGGGTGATGGCAGAGGAGGTAGGTGGGTGATGGCAGAGGAGGTAGGTGGGTGATGGCAGAGGAGGTAGGTGGGTGATGGCAGAGGAGGTAGGTGGGTGATGGCAGAGGAGGTAGGTGGGTGATGGCAGAGGAGGTAGGTGGGTGATGGCAGAGGAGGTAGGTGGGAGATGGCAGAGGAGGTAGGTGGGTGATGGCAGAGGAGGTAGGTGGGAGATGGCAGAGGAGGTAGGTAGGGTGATGGCAGAGGAGGTAGGTGGGAGATGGCAGAGGAGGTAGGTGGGGTGATGGCAGAGGAGGTAGGTGGGTGATGGCAGAGGAGGTAGGTGGGTGATGGCAGAGGAGGTAGGGTGGGAGATGGCAGAGGAGGTAGGTGGTGGATAGATGGTCAGAGGAGGTAGGTGGGTGATGGCAGAGGAGGTAGGTGGGATGCAAGGAGGTGGTGGTGATGGCAGAGGAGGAGGTGGGGATGCGAGGAGGTAGGTGGGGATGGCAGAGGAGTAGGGGGGATGCAGAGGAGGTAGGTGGGTGATGGCAGGAGGAGGTAGGTGGGTGATGGCAGAGGAGGTAGGTGGGAGATGGCAGAGGAGGTAGGTGGGAGATGGCAGAGGAGGTAGGTGGGGAGATGGCAGAGGAGGTAGGTGGGTGATGGCAGAGGAGGTAGGTGGGTGATGGCAGAGGAGGTAGGTGGGAGATGGCAGAGGAGGTAGGTGGGTGATGGCAGAGGAGGTAGGTGGGATGGCAGAGGAGGTAGGTGGGTGATGGCAGAGGAGGTAGGTGGGTGATGGCAGAGGAGGTAGGTGGGTGATGGCAGAGGAGGTGGTTAGTGTGATGGAGAGGAGGTAGGTGGGTGATGGCAGAGGAGGTAGGTGGGTAGATGGCAGAGGAGGTAGGTGGGGATGCGAGGAGGTAGGTGGATGGCAGAGGAGGTAGGTGGGAGATGGCAGAGGAGGTAGGTGGGTGATGGCAGAGGAGGTAGGTGGGTGGATGGCAGAGGAGGTAGGTGGGGATGGCAGAGGAGGTAATGGTGGGAGATGGCAGAGGAGGTAGGTGGGTGGTGGCAGAGAGGAGTAGGTGGGAGATGGCAGAGGAGGTAGGTGGGTGATGGCAGAGGAGGTAGGTGGGTGATGGCAGAGGAGGTAGGTGGGTGATGGCAGAGGAGGTGGGTGGGTGATGGCAGAGAGGTAGGTGTTTGATGGTAGAGGAGGTAGGTGGGTGATGGGCAGAGGAGGTAGGTGGGTGATGGCAGAGGAGGTAGGTGGGTGATGGCAGAGGAGGTAGGTGGGAGATGGCAGAGGAGGTAGTTAGGTGATGGCAGAGGAGGTAGGTGGGAGATGGCAGAGGAGGTAGGTGGGTGATGGCAGAGGAGGTAGGTGGGTGATGGCAGAGGAGGTAGGTGGGAGATGGCAGAGGAGGTTGGGTGATGAGGTAAGATGGATGGGATGGGATGATGTGCTAAGGTGGTTCGGATTGATGGGCTGCGGTGGGTGGGTGATAGGCATACAACATTGTAATATTCCATACCTTTTCGTTCCTTATGTCTATTCTTGGTTTCCTGTGCAGTCTGCTGTCAAATCTAGCTTTAATTCATTGTGGGTCATCACTGTTTGAGTGCTTGTGCATGAAAACAGGAGGATCTTGAGAAGTGGAGCAGGGAATGCAATGAAAAAGTGGACCAGCTTCAGCAGGCAAGGTATGCTGCGAAAACACTATGGTGAGGCTGTTCTGGAGGTTCTGGCTTGAGACATTCTGGCAAGAAGGACTCAAGTAAAGGTTGCACAATTCCCATGCTACTGATGGTTGGTAGTTGTGTGTATCATGTGCATTGCTGGATGTGTTTCTAACGTGATTGCATGTGCATGCCCTGCATGCTGGCTGCGTGCCAGCATGCAAACGTGTCGTATGTGTGTGCGTGTGTGTGGGGCTGCATGTTGAATGCATGTTGCATGGTACTTGTGTGGTTATACATTCACAGACAGGAGGCGGAAGAGGCCCGCGAAGAGGCACAACGTGCCAGAGAGGACGCTCAGGCTCTGGAGGAAAATCTCGAGGAGGCGGTGAGTCGAGAGGGAGGAGAGGCTGACTAAACATGCTTGGTCTGGCTGCATGGGATTTGGACAAATCTGTGGTGTTGACTTATCTGCGGTGCATGATTATTCGCTGTTCCACACTTTCTTTCATACTATTAGGCAAATCGAATGGCCATAACATACATCGCACTAAAACACTCTTTTCAACCTTCGCTCTGCCCTTTCTCTCTTTTGCTTTCCCTTTTCCACTCCAGCGCTGCTCAAAGGAGGCTGCTCAAAGGAGGCTGGATGCTGTAAAGGATGAGGCCACTCGTGCGGCATCTCAGGTTGGAAGAGCACTGACTCAACACCCATTCCTTCCTTCGGCATTTAAGCGGATGTAGATGGTTGTTGTGGGTGGGCTTGTCTCGGTCGATTAGACGAGCTGAGCCGCCCACGCGAAGCCGGGCTTCGTGCTCATGTCTATAGTGAGCTGGCTGGTGTGCTGTTGGTGAGTGTAGTGGGTGGTGAAAATACGGAACTGTCATCAACGGTAGTATTGCAGGTGAGGGGTGCTGCAGTGGTTATTAGTAGCAGGAACTCTGGAGCAGCTGCCCTCACTGCGGTGTGAGCCTGCTGGGGTTTCCAGGCTTCAAGGTGAGGGATGCTGCTATTGCTGTTGGTGTATACAATGATGGTTACTGGTAAGGAAGAACCTTGGGACCAGGATCCATCACTGTAGTGGGCTTTGTAGGTGACGTGTGCGACTTTTGCTGTTGCTGTGTGCTGTGTTGAATGAGAATCTGCCTGCTGTTGTTGCTTGGGTAGGTGTTCACCCTTTACACCTCATTTCATCTCCTTACCTCTCTCCCCCAACCCCCCAAACTTCAAAACTTGCTCTACTGCACGCAGCACTTGGAGGAGCTTCAACGGGCACGAGATGCTGCTGCTAGGTAGGTCTTTAAAAAAACAATTTTAGCCCTTCACATACAGAAAGGGCTGCATGTCACTCGTTGTTAGACATCCAGGCAAAGAGCACCAATGATGTCAAAAATCGTGGTTGCTATGGCATGCGTTCCATGTGCACTTTTCTGCATCGTTGCTGCATTTGTGTGTCTTTTGCGAGTCATGCGTGTATCAATTTGTGCATGCGTGTGCTCGTACGAGTGTATCGTGTCTCTCTGTATGCATGGATGCATGCGGAATGGTTGTGTGTGTGTGGCCTGCAGCACGGCTGTGGAGGAGTTGGGCATGGAGCGTGCGCAGTTGCAGGCTAAGGCAGAGGCTGCCAAGCAGCATGCACAGTCACTTGAGAAGACGGTGGAGGAGGAGGTGAGGCGACAGGTGGTGGGACTTGGTCATTAGTGCGCTGCGTGAGCGTGTATTCGCAATTCATAATCATTATCTTCACTTTTTTCATCAATTCAGAAACAAACTTCAATAAAGAGCGGTCCCCACATTTTCCGTTTCGCCCCCACGTGCCCGTCCCACTTCAGCGGCGCATGACGGATGCAGCTGTGGCGCATTTTGATGACATGGCATCGGCATTGACTGAGCTCGAGAGGAAGCTGCTGGATGCTACGAGTCGACTGGAGGCGGCGAAGGAGAACGTGTCTCGTGCTGATCGTGAGGTGAGAGCCAGCCATCAACATGACTGACATACCAGGGGCCTATGTGATGCATGCAACTCGTTTGATACTTCGATCATCGAAGCAAAATGTCATGGTATTGTTTCCCTTTCCTCCTTCTACCAGGTCGTTGTTTTGGAGGAGGAGAGGTCGTTTCTGATTGCGGCGCAGTCGCAGGCAGCAGAGCGAGACGCAGCTGCGAGGAAGAGGCTGCAAGAAACCATTACGCGGATGCTGGTGAGTACAAATGATGGTGACCTAAGTGGTGATGGGATGATGTGCTGAGGGGTGATGGGATGATGTGCTGAGGGGTGATGGGATGATGTGCTGAGGTGGGCAGGAATGATGGCTGGGCTTGTCAGGTGATAGGGAAAAAAGATTGCTTTTTCACTTTTGCCTACTTTTTTTGGTCTAATCTTCCTCGCATTCTTTATGAATCCACACTGCTTGTGTGCATGCGCATGCCTGCATGAGAGCAGGAGGGCTTTGAGAGGCAGCGGTGGATAATGCTCAGCAAGTCGTCATGCATCAACAAGCAATTGATGCTGCGAGGTAGGTTGCGAAAACACTATGGTGAGGCTGTGGATGCAAGTGGATGTTCTTTATTGGTCAATGTTTCAAGATCCCATTCAACTACTATTCCTACTCATGTCTTTCATACAAATTCCATGTGCATTATTGGATGTGCCTCTATATGAATGCATGTGCATTTGTGTTGTATGTTGTCGTGTGTGCGTGTGTGTATGGCTGCATGTTGAATGCATGGAGGATGGTATGTATGTGGGTGTACATTCACAGTAAGGAGGTGGAAAGGGCTCGTACAGAGGCACAGCGTGCCAGAGACGAGGCAGGGGCTCTACAGAGGATGCTGGAGGAGGAGGTGAGGCAAGAGGGAGGTGAAGCTTGAACTGACTGCAGTCATGCTTGGTCTGGCTGCTTGAGACTTGGCGAAGCCTGATTGTAGCCATGCTTTTGTTGACTTATCTGACTGGTGCAGGATTATTCACTGTTCCACTTTTTCCTTTTGTACTTTTAGAAAGTAAATTAACCATAGCATGCATCAGCAGTAACTCACTCCTTCAACCCTTACACGCCCATTTCACTCCAGCGCCGGGAGAAAGATGCAGAGAAGGAGTGCAGTAGCGGATTTGTTGCATCATTGGCCCAGCGTGAGAGGGAGCTGGACGCCGCTCGAAGGAGCCTGGCTGCTGCAGAGGGGGAGGCCGCTCGTGCGGCTACTCGGGTGAGAAAAGCATCTTTACCCCCTGAACTATGACTCAACACACTCCCTTTGGCATTTCTTTACTAGACGAGCTGAGCCGCCAAGCCAAGCCGGCTCGTGTCTATTGTGGGCTTCTGCTGCCGCTGTCAGTGAGTGTGGTGAGTGAGTGGTAAAAAGTGGGACCCGTCATCAACGATATTATTGTAGTGGTTATTGGTACCAGGAAATCTTGAGCAGCCACCCTCACTGCGGTGTGAGTCTGCTGGGGATTTCAGGCTTTCCAAGCGAGGGGTGCTGTAATTGATGGTGGGAGTTGGCAGAGGAGGTAGGTGGGTGATGGCAGAGGAGGTAGGTGGGTGATGGCAGAGGAGGTAGGCGGGTGATGGCAGAGGAGGTAGGCAGGTGATGGCAGAGGAGGTAGGTGGGAGATGGCAGAGGAGGTAGGTGGGTGATGGCAGAGGAGGTAGGTGGGTGATGGCAGAGGAGGTAGGCGGGTGATGGCAGAGGAGGTAGGTGGGAGATGGCAGAGGAGGTAGGTGGGTGATGGCAGAGGAGGTAGGTGGGAGATGGCAGAGGAGGTAGGTGGGTGATGGCAGAGGTCCACTGCTGTGGGCTCTCTTGGTGACGTGTGCGACTTTTGCTGTTGCTGTGTGCTGTGTTGAATGAGAATCTGCCGGCTGTTGTTGCTTGGGTAGGTGTTCACCTTAGCACCTCATTTCATCTCCTTACCTCTCTCCCCAACCCCCAAACTTCAAAACTTGCTCTACTGCATGCAGCACTTGGAGGAGCTTCAACGGGCACGAGATACCGCTGCTAGGTAGGTTTTCAAATTGCAATTTCAACCCTTCACGTACAGAATGGGCTGCTTGTCACTGGTTGTTAGACATCTAGGCGAGGAGCACCAGTGATGTCAAACACGTGGTTGCTATGACCAACGGCATCATGGCATGCGTTACATGTGCAGCACTCATCTGTATCGTTGGCTGCACTTGTGTGTGACTTGCCAGTCATGTGTGTATCAATTCGAGCATGTGTGTGCTCATACTAGTGTATCGTGCCTCTCTGTATGCATGCGGAATGTTTGGTGTGAGCAGGATGCATGCGAAATGGATGTGTGTGCATGGATGCATGCGGAATGGTTGTGTGTGCTTGCATGCATGCAGAATGGTTGTGTATGCTTGCATGCATGCGGAATGGTTGTGTATGCTTGCATGCATGCGGAATGGTTGTGTATGCTTGCATGCATGCGGAATGGTTGTGTATGCTTGCATGCGTGCGGAATGGTTGTGTGGCTTGCAGCACGGCGGCGGAGGAGTTGGGCAGGGAGCGTGCGCAGTTGGAGGCGGAGGCAGAGCTGCCAGGCAGCATGCACAGTCGCTTGAGAAGACGGTGGAGGAGGAGGTGAGGCGACAGGTGGTGAGACTTGAGAGACAGGTGGTGGGACTTGGTCGACAGGTGGTGCGACCGTGCGACTTGGTCATCATTGTGCTGCGTGAGCAGGCAATGCATGGCAGCTAACTTCACTTTTCCACGTTTTCTTTTTTTGCCCCCACGTGCCCTTCCCACTTCAGCGGCGCGTGACGGATGCAGCTCTGTCGCATTACAATGGCGGTGGCATCGGCGGTGACTGAGCTCGAGAGGAAGCTGCAGGATGTAACGTGTCGACTGGAGGCGGCGGACAGAGCGCGTCTCATGCTGCTCTTGAGGTTAGAGGGTTATCCATGAACATGACATACCACGGCCTATGTGATGCATGAATTTGATTACTTCTTTGTTCATCGAAAGCGCCATGTTATTTGTTTGTTTGTTTATATCTTATTTCTCTTTCCCTCTTCTAACAGACTGCAGATCTGGAGAAGAGAGAAAGCAACTCTGATTGCGGCGCAGTCAAAGGCAGCAGAGGGACAAGCGAGCACTCTGAAGGAGTTCCACCAGTTGGAGGGAGTGCATTTGGCGATGAAGAGCGCTCAAGCTCTACCAAGGAAGCTCAATGGGCAGCTGAGAGGAAGAGGCTGCAAGAAACTATTGACGCGTGGAGGTGAGTACAGAAGATGGTGCGAGGTGATGGGATGATGTGCTGAGGGGTGATGGGATGATGTGCTGAGGGGTGATGGGATGATTGCTGAGGGGTGATGGGATGATGTGATGAGGGGTGATGGGATGATGTGATGAGGGTGATGGATGATGTGATGAGGGGTGATGGGACGATGTGATGAGGGGTGATGGGATGATGTGCTGAGGGGTGATGGGATGATGTGCTGAGGGGTGATGGGATGATGTGATGAGGGGTGATGGGATGATGTGCTGAGGGGTGATGGGATGATGTGCTGAGGGGTGATGGGATGATGTGCTGAGGGGTGATGGGATGATGTGATGAGG